GTGTGTGGGTGAGAGAGAGAGAGAGAGAGAGAGAGAGAGAGAGAGAGAGAGAGAGAGAGAGAGAGAGAGAGAGAGAGAGAGAGAGAGAGAGACCCTGAGATTAGAGAGACTGGACGGCAGGCAGGTAGACAGACAAACAGGAATGCAAGATTAATGGTCTTCATCCAAGTGGACAACAGGTTGGCACTCGTGAGAGTGGAACTGAGTGCTTCATGTTTCCTTTTTTTTTTTTTTTTTTTTTTTTTTTTTTGGACAAATGCTCCAGTCTATTCGTGGGGAGCAACACTGCTGGGAACCGGGCCCAGCGTGACAGCGTCCCATATATACAAATGATTTGAAGTGCCAGGGCCATTACCTGTCTTCGGCTAAGAACAATCTGAGAATTATGAAAAGAGTTCAGAAAAAATTAAGAAAAACATCGGATAGCTGCCAGCCTGCAACCCTATTACTAGACTACTCAAGCAGCAAATTAGTGGAAGTCCTTCAAAAGCTCAGAACCCCTGGAAACCCCCCACTGTAATGACCCGTCATAACACAGACTGAGAACACTGCTGATTTCTGAAGTTCTGGATGCATTGTTGAGATTCCCGCATTCTGCTGTGTTTTCTAAGTCTGTCTGTGTGTGCGTGCTTGTGACCTGCGTGCCTGTCTGAGTGCTTGTCTGTATGAGTGTGTGTGTAACCCGCAAGGGTACTTGCTTGTTTGGCAGGCCCGTAGGGCCGGTACTTACCTGTGGCCGTGGCATTGAGGGTTGTATCAGGGAAAAACACTAAGTGGCGAAGCTAGCGGCCCCGAGGCCCTTGGGATAGCGGAAAAACATTCAAGTAGGCAGGTAGGCCGAAACTGCACCCCACTGCAGTTGTCGTGAGGAGGTACTGGAGGCCGAGCAGAAGAAGACAAAGTTGGCATTTTTAGAGTCCAGTAGCGGTAGGATAGGTCTAGGCAGGTACCAGTCCAACCAGCCTGAGTCTAGAGCCTGTACGGTAATATCAGGGTCTGCAATGATGTTTCCCTCCGAAACGGAGAAAGTATGTTATACGCAACCTCACGCCCCCTCGCGGGTTTCCGTACGGGGTCGCCGATCAGAGTTCTAGGAGGGGCAAGGCCGAGGATTTTTGACCGTAAGGGTTGAGTCTCCCGGACGGAACGGGACGCTCTCGTTTCGTGGCCGAGGTTTTTCTCGGAGTCGAACTGTCGTCGCGAAGTCCCGCGGGGGTTGGATTACTCCGAGACGATAAAATCAGAAGGGTTTCTGTGAAATGAATTGCCGTCGTGCATCGGGACGGGAAAAGGCATCAAGGGGAGGGGGCCATGGCGGCGGAAGACAAAACTTCGATTGTCAGGGGTTTGGGGGATAGGTGGTGGGTTCGAAGCCTTCGGGCCTCATCATCGACTTCACAAAGTATCTGAAACCTCGGGTCTTTGTTGTATAGGTGGGTGGTTCGAGGCCTTCAGGCCTCTGCGTCGGACTCACAGAGTCCGCGCGAAAGTTACCGGGAGGGTAAAGAGGCGGGAGGACTCGCCGGCATCTGAATTCGAAATTGCGCGGGCAGCGCCCCCCCACTACGGGAAAGTTCGGGGAAGCGTGTCGCTCCCTCGTAACCCAGGACCAGTCGTCGCCACGAGCACGAGTCCCCCTGGCGACACCATCGACAATCAAACTGCAGTCGCCACGCGTCGTGAGCAGCCGACCAGGGCAACACCGTTAAACCCGTATAAGGCAATATCAGAGTCGGGGAATCAAAACAATTAATCAACACAAACCCATTCCCCCTTATCTCACAGGCCCGCGGCGGGTCTTGCCAACACACTTGCTCCGTCTGCCTCAGCGCGCGCCGTACGTCCGCATCGCAGTAGACGCTGTCGTCATCTGTGATGGGGAAGGTCGGTAGCGAGATGAGACGATCGGAGGTACGTGATGAACACGGGCAAGATCCCGAGTTCCCAGTCATCCGAACCAACACCGAATCCATACGACCCGCGAGATTATATGGCTACGTGATTGGGGTGTTTGTTCAAGTGGTGCGCGGTTTCCCGCTTTCGACATTGATCCGAGCATCCCAACTACGCAGCCAATCACTTCGTGGAGGAAGACAGGGTAAGGATCAAGCTGGGCGTAGGGGAAGACGAAGAGTCCTGCATGGAAAAAATGCGCGCAGCAAGAAGGGAAGATGGCGCGAGGATGCGAAGCAAGAAACGGGGATGGGAGACGTGCGAAGAAATTGGAGCTTGGGCGCGCGAGCAAAAATTCAAAAAGTCCCAACCGCACCCGTTTTTTTATTTTCATACCGCGGCCGCTATTCCCCCGCGGGGGTTATTAACCAAACAAAATGAAAAAGGCCGTTTCAAAAAGAAAACAAAAGCAAAAAGAAAGAAAAACCCCTTTCTATCTGCGTCCGTACTTCGGGGCTTCCGCGGAGTTTTCCCTCAAGAATACGGCAAGCCGCGCGGTACGGATCTGAGCTTATCACATCTGTGATACGCAGGGGGTTCCGAAAAATTAGCAGTCTCCTGACTGCTAACGTCATCATATCTTGGATGATCGGGCGGCCTCTTCATCGTCAGCTGGCCCGATCATCCTCCTAATCTACGTGGATGCATCCCGCATCCTCCATTGCCTCCTCCCATAGTATACATTCGATCGGGCGGCGTCTTCATTGTCAGCTGGCCCGATCGTAATTTTTTTTTTGTTTGTTTTTTTAATATATATAGCGCGTATTGTCGCGCGAGCTTTAGATTTCGGAAGAGAAGAAAAGAAGAAGAGAAGGAGAAGGAGAGGACGGGGGAGAGGTAGACAAAGGTGATCAGATGAAGTGATCTATGTCGGGATTGAGAGGCGGAATAGGTGGAAGAAAGGCAGCCATTGCCGCAGGAGTCGTCGGCGCATCTCCCTCATGGAAATGATGCTGGACGAAGGAGGGGTAAAGAAAAGCCCCCGGCACATGAGAGAGGACATGTGGCGCCAGATCCGCCACCGCTCGCACCACCTGCTTGCGCACCGATCGAGGTCCTCGACCCGTCATCACCACATGCGTATCGGTATAAGGCCGCCGCTCCCGCTTCTGCGCCGCGAAGACCAGGAAGTGGTACACCGCATTGGGACGCTGCCCAGTCTCGTAGATGAGCGTCCCAGCCAATTGCGCCGCAATACACCCTTGAAACGGGGGCGTCAGGTATGGTTCCCACGCCGGATCAGGGCGCGGCGCGCCCGCGATGGCCTCGAGCCTAATGGTGGCAGGCTCCACCATGAAGTCCACCTCGGTCAGATGGACCGTCCGGCTCGGATGAACTACTAAGGTCAATGACCGGGGCACCCCGGGGTGGTTGGCGAGAACGGAGAGGTCCCGCGAGGACGGGGGGTCTGGATATGGGATCTGGAAATCCCATTCGGCTTCCTCCTCCGGCTGCTGCTGTTGATGATGGCCCGGCTCCATCAAGATTGAGGTCGGGCACACGCGGAATGGGTGGCGATGGCAAGATAGTCTCCTTAACGAGCGTCGTCACGCGCGCGGGCTGAATCACTTCCTCGCCGCCGCCGATCCTGCTGCCTTGCGCTTCTGGCGACGGGTGGCGTCTCTTCCTCCTCGGCGCCTTCTTGGGGGCCTTCGGTGGCGCTGGCCGAGAGTACGATGAGGGAGGACGCAACGGCCTTTCCTCCGGGAAGTCGTCCAATCTCTCCGCGCGCTGCGCAATGTCATCCGGGATGACGACCGCGTTGTATGTTCTCCACGGGGCCGTCCCCATCCGCAGTCGCGGTTGGATCTCCTCCTCCTCGGTCGCGATCACTTGCGCGATGGAGAGGAGCTCAAGATGTATGAGCTCCAAAAATCCCGGATCGATCGTCTGGAGCAGGGCGAAGGGGTACACCGCGACCGTCCCTTCCTTCTCCGCTGGTTTGGGTCGCGAGATGACGTAGTAAACGACGAAGTGCTCACCGGTAGCGTGGTCTTCGTGATCCACGAAGAACCGGAACATCCCCAACGCCACCGACTTGTACAGCGCACGGTGCAACTCCCACGCGTCCTCGTCGGCGAAGGGCAGCGGCTCCACGTCAGTAAGCTCCACCAGGTACTCCGAGAACTCGCGCATGGGGTAAGGGCCCGCCGTGAGCTGGTAGGGGAGGGTGGTGTAAGAGAAGAAAGGAGGCATTTAGTACGGGACAGGGGGAATAGCTTGGAGGTTGAGGGGGGCAGCGGGAGGGAGAAGCGCGGGGAGCTCCGGCACCAGTGCGATCGGTCCGTCTTCTGCCCTACGCAGCAGCACTTCGTGGGCTGTGAATCGGTGCCCGCTCCGTCCTTGCACTCTTGCCACTGATCTGGCCGCTTCTACCGCGGGCTCCCGATTCTCCTGCGGGAGGATCGTCAAGTCTTCGATGAAGGTGAGGACGCTGTGCACGAAATTGGGTGCCATCTGGAGCGCACGGAACTCAATGAATACCCGGGTCGTCTCCCGGCCAGGCAACTGCGTCACGTCCACGTACACCCCCGCATATGTCAGCTGATCGCAAAGCAACGAGTATGCCGCCAGATCAGCAACCCCGGGGCGCTGGCACGTTCACCTGTTGGATGTCGTACCGCAACTGCCTCTCCTCGTTAAACCGATGCCGCAACAAGCAACAAGCGATCTGCAAGCGGCGTCTGGAAGTGCTCGAGGTGCTCATGCTCCGGCTGGCGATGGTTCATCCTGCTCCCTGAAACTCTCAGCACCAATGGACGAGGCAGATCGAGAAGAGGAGGAGGATGAAGAAGGAGAAGGTGATCGTGCAGGAGCAGGGGTCCGTAGGGGACCTAGCGATGGCTGGAAGGGCCGGAGCGCGGCAGCGTGCCGTGTCAGCGGTCGGGCCTGGGAGTTGTGACGGGGAATCAACTTCACGGAGTGCTGTCCCTGTGCGCCAACTTCCGTGACCTCGTAAATGCCTGTGTAGCGCGGGTGGATCTTGGAGGAGCGCGCAGATTTCCGTACCTGTACCAAGTCCCCAACTTTATAGCGGGGCAGTGGTCCCGCCGACGCGTGTCGGTTCTCGTAGTCCCGGATCTGCCGTTGATGCGTCCGATCTACGGCCTGCCGTCGACGGCGAGCTAATGGGGGATAGGCCCTAGCCATTAAGTCCAGGCAGTGGCGGGCCTTGTCTCGATTCTGGGCCCGTGTTGCTCTAACTTCCGCACACATTAAGGGGGACAATTGCATCCGAGGGACACTATTGGTTCTCAGTTGAAAGGGGGACACCCCAGTACTACCGTGGGGGGTAGCCCGATAAACGACCAAAATGTGATCCACAATGACCGGCCAGGGTCGGGTGTCTCCCGCAGTGATATTCCGTCTAAGGGCCGTCTTAATCAGTCGGTTGGCATTTTCTACCAGGCCATTGGCTTGAGGCCAATGCCCCGGCGAGTAGATAATCTTAACATCCGCCCTGACCAGGTGACGTTCTACTTCGCCTTGAAATTCCGACCCATTGTCCATGTGTATTTCTTCTACGTCTAGATGCATGCACAAAAATCGATTTACGTACCAGGCTACTTCCTGCGAATTCCGGCTGGTCATAGGGTACAACTCGATCCATTTTGAAAAATGATCGACAGCCACTAAAAGAACATTGAGTTCTCCCTGATCGACGGGCCCTCTCGGAACGTTGATGTCCGTCGTATCGATGCTAACCCTCTGAAAGGGGCGCTCGACACGAGTGGGCACCATCGTCCGAGGCATCTGGACCGGCGCCTTGTCCGCCGCGCAGGCCGGGCAATTCTGAACGATGTATTTCACATCTTCCCGAATTCCCGACCAGTACCATCCGTTCTTTTCGATGGCTTTTTCCGTGTACTTGACCGCGAAATGGACCGCATCCTCCTCATGAGCGGCTCGTGTCCAATCGAATCTAGCAAGAGGGTGTGGAACCGTCAACCAGCTAGACTCTCCGTCGTCATCGACCTTCCGTTTTTGTAACGTCGGGCCCTGCCAGCGATAGTCTTGCGCCCGCTCCGTGACTGTCCGCCGTTCAGCTTTGGTAAGTTCTGACAGCGAGTCGCCTGCCAGTCTTCGTAGCAATAAAAGGTCCGTCCAGGCTTCTGCTCGGCGGGCACTCGGCGCAAATCCGTCGGCTGTTCTAGCGTCCAGATATCGCTTCTCGGTAGGGACCTGGTCCGTTCTACAGTTGGTACAGACCCACGTCTTTTCACATTGGTACCTAACGCACTGTCCGTGAGACTTGACCGTATGACACTGACTACACTGTACCCATAAAAAAAAATTGGGCCCTCCCGGATGTGACCCTTCTTGGTCCGGGATCATAGGTAAGGTACAAAAGAAACAGGGACTTTGGTGCGTTTCAGAAGACGAGTTGGGGCTAGACGAGAGAGCGAGGGAGTGGGATGAGGGCTGAGAGGTAGTGTCGGCCATCTCCGATGAAGCCTCCATTCCGGACTCAGGCGTCGTCCTTACGCAGCACATATAGCTCCCCGTAGTGTGGTTTTGTCGCCGCGACTTCTGGCCTCCACGAAATGAGTCGCTCATTGGCGGGACACTTGTTGGGCGGCAGGAGGCGCGTTAATCCATCGGCGTTACCATGCTGCCGCGTGGCGCGATGGAGGATGTCGAAGTCATAGTCTTGCAAACGCACCGCCCACCTGCCCAGCGTCCCCGTGTAGTCCATGTTGTTGCATAGGGACAGCAGCGGCTGATGATCCGTCACCAGCACGAATTTCTGGCCGTACAGATACGGTCGGAAGTGCTGAATCCCCCACACCACCGCCAGGCATTCACCTTTGCACGCTTCGTAATTAGCCTGCGCCTGGCTCAGCGTCTTGGACGCATACTCAATTACGTGCTCCCTTCCGTCCTTCCCGTGCTGAGTCAGCACCGCCGATATCGCCTGAGGCTGCCAGTCTGTGTACAGTGCGAACGGTCTTGTCGGGTCGGGACGCGCCAACACAGGAGCAGACGTCAAAGCCTCCTTCAACGCCTGAAACGCCGCYTCGCATTCCGGCGTCCAGATCAGCTGTTCCTCTTCTTCAACAGGTTCGTGAGGGGCTTTGCTATACAGGCGAACCCCTTGATGAAGCGTCGGTAATAGGATGCCAGCCCTAGAAAAGCCCGAACCTGGGTGAGTGTGGCCGGCGCTGGGGCGTCTTGAACTGCTGCCACCTTCCTCGGATCCGGTTTTAGCCTGTCGACCGTAACGATATACCCCAAGAATGAAATCTCCGACAAGAAGAACTCGCTTTTCTCCAAGGCCACTTTGAACCCGACATCTTTCAGTGCATGCAAAACCCACCTGATGTGTTCCACGTGGTACTCGTGTGTTTTTGAAAAGACCAAAATATCATTCATATACACAATCACGCAGAAATTGATCAGGGGCTGGGTTAGTCGGGTTTTGTTAACGAACTAAGCGAAGGCCGTATTCATGGCCCACTGAATTGTTGCCGGGGCGTTGCAAATTCCCATGGGACACCGGACCCATTGCCACGTGCCCTCGAATAGGACAAAAGCGGTTTTGGGTCGGTCCTCCGGTCGGACTGCGACGTGGTGAAAACCATGTCGGATATCGAACTTGGAAAAGACTCAAGCGGCCCCAATGGCATCTAACAAGTCATCGATTCGCGGGAAGGGATACACATCTTTGGTAGTGATGGTGTTCAATTTCCGATAGTCGATACATACCCGGACCGAACCATTTCGTTTTGGCACGAGGACCACGGGAAAAGGCCACGGTCCCAGTGATGGTTCGACCCACCCCAACCGCTCGAATTCCCATATCCTTTCCAAGGCCAGCTGTCTTTCTTTAAGGGAATATCGGTACGGTCGGCAATGTATCGGGACGTGATCCCCAATATCAATCGCATGCTGTATCAAGGGGGTTAGCCCTATGTCGTGGTCCCGAATACTGACGGCCTCAAGATAGGCCCGTATAACCGCCAGGAGGAAGCGTCTGTATTCATCCGGAACACGGGTTGGTAACTGAACTTCCACGGTTCCCCCAGGAAGGGAGACTGTCGTCGTAACCGTGGGGACCGCCGCGCTGGCATCAGGCGAGGCCCCAAACAAAGAGTTGTCGGTTTTCGCCGAAAGGACAGTCGCAATGAGTTGACTGTCCGCCGGACTCATCGGCTCGCTTTCCATGTCACTGTCACCGTCCAGTTCGGGTTCGGCCGAGGGTTCTAYCGAAAAGGCCTGCGCCGGTTCCCTTGGTCCCCATCGATATTCYCTRGTCCGGGGTTGAAATGACACCCCCTCTTTCAAGAGTATCGCGGCTTTTTCATTCGTGAGTAGGGGCCGTGGAGGTCGAAAAGATAAATCGCACAGCCCCCTTAGCTCGGTAAATCTTTCAGGTAGGGGGTCCGTTCTGAGATATAAGGACGCAGGGGGTTCCGAAAAGTCAGCTATCCGGGACACTCTCAGCAGGGGTTCCCCCTGCACCACGGAGGAGAATGCGTGTGACCAATCGGACCCGCCCCGAACTATTTCCAGTGGTTCTCGCCGCCAAGAATGGCGCCACCGATCCTGAACTCGGATCGGATATCGGTCGGGTACCTCTGTCTCGTCGGTTTCCGTCGAGGGTTCGTTTTCGCCTGGTGACAAGCGTTGGATCATATTGATTTGATGGGCTTTCGCGGTGAGGCGAGGCTCCGGCTGGGTGCGCATGTGCACCGCCAGTCTCATTGGTATCGTTTGGGGTTTGGGGTGGGCCGATGTGAGCACCACCTTACAGCTGTCAAAGTGCATTCGCGCTCCGACCGCCGCCTGCCACGGAATGCCTAGTAGAACATCATACGCCTGTACATCCAGCACGATCACGTCACACAAACAATGTACCCGCCCCACCCATATGGGCACGTTCGTTATTCGCACTTTACAACGAWTACTATCTTCCGTAGCGGATATATACAGTTCATMCRGTCGAAGGGGCTGAATCTGTCCTTTCCTCCCCAACTGTTTCRTTAATCTTCAAGAAATGGYGACCGCCGATGATCCCGAGTCTAGGAWGGCGGCTGAGGGGTTTCCCCAGACCTCACAATCACACTCTACGCTTKTCCAGGTTATAGGATAGGCCCRGAGAAATACCTCGGGTTTTTCCGAGGCAGAATCCACGGTCTGGATCATCCCTATCCGGTTGGCTTCATKCACCTCTRAGGTTGAGGGCTGTGGTTCCTCGTTGGCGGGTGGGTCCCGTAGGACCGGCTTTTTGCCCTTTCTACTTTCCTCGAATCGGCGCCTGTTTTTGAGGCACCGTTCGATCAACTTYTCGTTAGCCGCTTCAGAAATGGTTAGCARATATGGAATAGGGACGGGGATCCGAAGGTCCAGAGCCTTCAAGGCATCCAATACGTCGATATGGCCATCCTTGTATTCAGGACCAGGTACCGCAAGATCTTCGGACCCTGGTCGCCACGGCCCGAGGTCGCTTTCCTCGGTAATCCGTTGGACGTGACGTATCACTCCGATGGTCCCGGGTTCGAACATCGCTGCTGCCATATACTCATCGGGTCCTATGTCAGTGGCCGCAGGGGTCACCATCTCCGTCGTTCCTGTGTCCATTACCGTGGCTACCCTCCCCTGTCCTGCAGCGGTGGGCGCAGCCAGTGGGATTTGGGAAGGTCCGGTAGAACCGCCCTGAGTTCGGGGTTTCGGACAATCTTTCGCAAGATGGCCTGGCTGATTACAATTATAACAGCATAGGGGTGGGACAGCCCCGGCTACGGCCGGTCTTATCATAGGGGCTCCGGCAGCCATAGCCGCCTGTTGCCGTTGTGCGGCGGCTATGCGTTGTCATTGCAGACCTTGAACAAACTTCATCAACGGGGCTACTACCGTAACTAATTGGGCCRCGACCTCTTTCATGGATACTTCTTCCTCGCCCCGGCCTCCTTGCGTTTGACTAGGGCRACGGGAGGCCGAAGCAGAGGAGGAAGCTTTCCGATCCGAGCCTTTTTTTGCCGGACCCAACCCGAAGCGATCTTCGAACATACGTGCCGTAGCGGAGTAGCTATTGCGTCGAACGCCCRAMGGGTCATCTTCRTCGGATTCWGAGTCCASGCCCACATCGTAATTTTCCTTCYCGTACTTAATTGCGTACTRAATTAGCTTCGTAAGGGTATGTTCTATAGGGTTGCATTTCTTGCGGATYTTTTTCCGCAGACGAGAATCTGAMAGTCCTCTGACGAAATCAGTCCGTACCATCTTCTCATCCACCCCAGAGCGCTCGGCTCGGTACGTAAAACGTTCAGCATATCTAGCCAAGGTCTCCCGAGGCTGCTGTGTGTATTCCTTTATTAAACGGAGGCATTGAC